CTGCCGCTTTCCCAGAAGGACACCCTCCCGGGCGCTGAGCGTCCAGCTAGCCGTGCGCAACCGACTGAGAACCGGGGTGACCTGTAGCTCTACCCTGCTGGGAACCCTTTCCCCACATCCCTGTCCCCAGGGGCTACTTCCGGCCACGTCTGGGGGCGGTGCCTACGGATCGCGCAGAACCATCCGCAAGCCAGGACCGGACTTGGCCTTCCTCGGTCGGTTGTCAGGCGCAGGAGCTGCCTACTGAGCCTGCGCAAGTTTCTGGCTGGGGGAGGGGGACGGTCCGGCAGCAGGGGTGGGCACCACGCACGGTGGGGTTACCTGGTCCTGTGACCTACCTGTGCCTTCAGGGCCCGCTGGAGCCCAGCCTTGTGCGTTCTGCGTCCACCCGTGTGCCCGGCTGCGTGGCTGGGAGGGTCCGACCACACTCCACCCACGGCGCGCAAGGCAAATCGCGCGCTCGGTCTCTGCCGAGGCCCGGAGCCAGCCGGATCCGGTTCTCCAAGGGAGAGTCATCCAGAGGAGGGCAGAGCTTTGCTCCGGAACCCTACTGTTCCGGGCTGTGATTCGCCAACAGGAGCCTGCCACCCACCGGCTCCGGACCTCGTCCTCGGCTGCCCCAGACGGTCCAAACCCGGCGGATCTGCGGGCCACGCGGCTCGAGGGCACCGAGCATGCGTGGCGGCCTGGTCCCATCACGCAGTCTCTCCTGCTCTGCGCCTCACTCAAAACTGACTGCGTGTCGGGTCACTGGATAAACGGGGCAGAATGTCACACAGGAGCCACCTCCGAGACCCGAAGAGGCCCGCCAGGTGCTGCGCTGCTTCTCCAGCGGTCGGGAGGGCCAGGTGTGGACCAGGGCGCGCCCCAGACCTTGGACCCTGGCGGGTTCGTCCTGGTCGCAGGCCCAGCGCCGCACGCCCTGTTCCCAGGCAGTCCTGGGGCTGGGGGTGCTGCCAGCTCTGCTCCCCAGCACCCGGCACAACAGCATCGGTGTGACGGGCTGGCGTGGCGGCCTGTGGATGGGGGAGCTGACGCGGGCCCAGTGGGTCGGCTTGAGGCACGGGGTCCACCTGCCCCACAGGTGGGACGGGAGGGCGCGCTGCCCGCCCTGCCGGAGAGCAGCTGGCTTCGGGGTCTCTGCCATGGTGCGTGCGGGACCAGGGGCCATACGCGCCATACCAGCGGCTTCGCCCTGCAGAAGACACGGTCATGGCTGGCGGGGTGGTGGTGGGGGGCGCAGACAGCCGACGCATCCGCGGGACCCGCCTCCTACCCGGGGAAGCTCTGGCTCCGCAACCCGGGGCTCTGGCTCTCCTGCTGCGACTGCACTGAAGGCCGAGACTTCGCTTAGGCGATTCCAAGTGCATCACTGTCGCGGAACAAGGAAGGCCACCAGCTCCGGAGGCCACCAGCCGTTCCAGCGGCGCAGGTCTCCGTGGGCTGGACCGTTCTGCCTGCCGGTGCCGGCCTGCAGCAGGCCGGGGCTCCCCCTTTGGTCTGCGCGGTCCTGTCGCTGGCCTGCCTTCCGCCCACGCCACCCTGAGCATCTGGCTGTCGTCCTGCAAGGCCCCGGGTGAGGGGTCCTCGTCTTCCCTCCCTGCTCTGGCAGCCCTGACCCACAGCCTGTGACCTCCAGGCATGACCCTGAGTGGGCCACACGTCCTCCCTAAGATCCCCCAGGGGACAGGGAGGGCCCCGTGACTGCAGTGGGTGGCCGCGTGGCAGACAGGCCCCACGCCCACTGTTGCGGGTTCTCGGGGAGGCTCCCTGGGGCTCAGCTCCCTCCCTGGCCCTAAGGCCTCTGTGCCTTGGCCTCTCGCCCCACGTCCCACCTGTCGCTGGGATGGCCACCAACGACATGGCCAATCTCACCACCTTCACTCCTGAGGCCACAGCTGTGTCCCATCCGGGTGGGCAAAGACCCAGGAGTCGGGGGCTGGCACAGTCGGGCATGGGCACTTCCCTCCTCTTCCTCTCCCTGCCCTGGGACACCTTTGTCTTTCGCCTCTGCCCCCGAGACCCCTAGGCCCACCCTGGCTGGCCCTTCCAGGATCCTGGGGCCCCCATGCCTGCACCTCTCCACCCTCTGTCCCTAAGCACCGTAGCTTGGCCCCGGGCTGTGTCCCGGAACGAGCCCGCGGTGAACTAACAAGAGGAAGGACGGATGGACGGATGGGCAAGGGTTGGAGGCTGCCCCGGTAGAACACCAAGCCGGAGGGTCGGGGCGGCAGACATTAATTTCCCACAATTCGAGGTGCTGGAAGTCCCAGATCAAGGTGCCAGCTGATTCTGTGCTTGGGGCCAGCCCAGACCCCGGCCTGCAGACGGCCACCTCTGTGGCCCCACCTGGCCTCCACCAGGGCATGTGAGCTTCCAGGGGCGTCACCAGCTCTCTGGTGCCTCTGCTTACAAGTCACCAGTCCCCTTGGACCAGGGTCCCACCCCTTGATCTCAGCTGACCCTAATCACCTCCCAAAGGCCACCTCCTAACCCCGTCACACTGGGGGTTGTGGCTTCAACCTGTGAATTTTGGGGGGGGACACGATTCAGTTCATAGCAGCCTCCTAAAGGCTCTGTCACCCTGTCCACGGAAACTGCAAAGATCCTCTGCGACCTGTGCCCTCCTGAGTCCCTGCACCTGTCCTGGAGGTGTGGGGGGACCTCATGCTGGGCCTGGCCTTGAGCCTTGTGCCTTGGGGTCTGGCCTGAGCGGAACCAACAGCCCCCAGAGCGGGTTTCCCAGTGCTGGCAGGCGAGTGGGGGCTGCAGGGGGCCGGCGCCAGCGCTGGGTGGGCGGGGCCAGCCCCTAGGCACTGACCCACTGGGCGGTGGACAAAACTCCTTGTTCCTGAGGACCTGGGCAGCCTGGGGGCTGGCGGGTGTCTGGAGGATGCGCTGGGTTGGGTTTGGCGGTTTCCTCCGGTTAGACGGGGCCATGGTTGGTGGCGGGCGCTGCCTCCATCTCCTGGCGGGGAGCTGGGTCCCCCTGCCCTCATGGAAGAGGGTCCCCGCCCATCGCCTGGGGATGGGCCGGGCGAGCCACTGCCTCTCCCTCCCTGACTGCCGCGCAGCCGCGAGCTCACGCGGGGCCGCCATGCTGTTTCGCATGGTGGGCTATAATCCCGTGCGATCCCGTTCATTTTGCTGCTCGAGTTTTTGCAGCTTTGGCCACTGGAGCTTCCTCAGTGGGTCCTGAGACAAAACTATTTTTAGTTAATCAGTTGATTATTAGAGAGAGGGAAGGATCAAGGAAAAGAAGTCCCAGAGAGCAAACACCATAACACACATGCCCAAACACACGCATATTACATGCACTTGCATACATATACACGTGCGCGAACATGCACACGCCCACACTCACACATACATGCACACGCCCACATACACGCATACATGCACACTGGCGCGCACACATACATACATGTACACACATACGTATACACGTGCATGAACACGCACATGCCCACATACACGCATCCATGCACACACTCGCGTGCATACACACATACGTACACACACATACAAGCACATGCATATGTACATGCACGCACACATACACGCACACACCCACACACATACAAGCAGACATCTTCCTTGGAAATAGGAGGCCGCCCAGGCCCAGGCCTGACCCTCAGGACATGGCCGTGGGGGTGGGGCTCGGCATCTGTGTCCTGCCCGGCCCTCAGGCCTGACCCTGCTGCCGTAGGCGCCCTCCTGGCTCCCGCGGCCTGCACTGCAGATGGAGCGCGTGGGCAGCCCAGGGCGGCCGGGGCAGGTGGGCGGCGGGTGGCTCAGCCTCTCCTCTGCAAGAGGCCCTTCCTCTTGTGGGAAGGGGGGTCCACAGGGCCGCGGTGCATGCGCCCAGACACGCCAGGCGCCCTGCCCGCCGCGGGCACGGGGGGAGAGGGACGTGGTCAGCCCTGGCCTCCGCGGGGCTGGGCTGCCCGCCCGCCTGTCGGGAGCCCTGCTGCCACTCTGCGATGACAAGCGAGGCCCCTGTCCGAAGGGCTGGTGCTCGACAGGTGCCCAGCAGGTGCCGGGAGGATGCCAGGGTGGCGCTTGGAGGCCCCTTGTCCCAAGGCTGGAGAAGGGCGGTCCCCAGGCTGCGCCGGACACGGGAGCACTGGCATGCCCAGGGTGATGAGCCAGAGACCCGACTCCCGCTGCTGCCGCCCCGGTTCACACCCAAGCCCTGCCTGGGCCACACCTGGGCTGGGCCCGGGTCCTCCCCCTGGGTGACACCACCGGCGTCAGGTGGGAATCCCTGGGGCCGGAGCTGCAAGGGGGCAGCTCGAAGATGGGGGGCGGACGCGGGTCCCGGATGCCCCTCTGTGCGGCAGGGGATGGAGGAGTGGCCTGAGCAGTCCCTCCAGCGGCGGGCTTTCCGCTGGCTTCTAGAAGGCCGAGGGGTTGCCATGGCCTCGGGGGCCTCCTCCTCCCCAGCTGAGGTCCCCTGTGTCCAGGGGGGACCCCGAATTGTAAGGGGTCCGAAGAGGGAGCAAGTCCAGCCCAGGACGGCCCTGCTGCAAATCACCCATTTATGCCGCTAAGGCATTAAAAATCGAATCGCCTTTCCAAACATTTACTTGTCACGGAACATTTCAAATGGTATTTCATAAGAACATGTTGGGATTAGACTCCGTCTCCCAGATGCCTCCAGGATCACACCCCCAGGCAGGGACTCTCTGGGGTCCAGTCCCCGCGTGCACACCCCACTGACGGGGAGCTCACCCCCTGCCCAGGCGCTGTCCCCTCCCACACCCCACCCCTGCACCTGCCCCGTCTGCTCCCAGCGCTGTGCTCTGTGGCCACAACAGGAACAAGGCCCTCCTGGGAGAGGCCTCAGGTGTCAGCGAATGCCCTGGTGTCCCGGGCCAGGCTGGGGCGGCAGGGGTGGTGGGAGCTGGCCTCACCACCCCTCCCCTTCCTGCCTGCCCTCCTTCCGGGGCACGGCGGCTCAGTTCCAGGGGCACGTTGACGCGGAGACCCAGGCGGGCGGATGCAGCCTCCTGGGCCGGCAGCTGAGGTCTGAGGCCCTTGCCCAGCTGCAAACCACAGCTGCAGAGGAGAGGCGGGGAGAGGGGCCACCATGGGGCCTCGCGGGCGAGTCAGGGCTGCCAAGTGCCAGATGCTGGTCACCAGCCTCCTTGTCTTGGTAACAAGTGGGTCGGGCAGGAGGGGCAGGGGGTGCGGGTGGAAAGGGGTGAGGGCTGGGGCTGGGTGTCTCTGGGCCACCAGGCCACCGGCACTGTGATCATGCCTCCTACACACACGCGCCAGCCCCACTGTCCGGCAGACATGTGCCCGGTGCCCCTGGTGGCAGATGGCGGCAGGCTGTGGCCATTTGGACAGGGCACCCTGTGGGCAGCGTCTGTCCCCGAGGGCAGTGTCGGGCCAGGAGGGGGCCTGAGTTAGCCCAGGGCTCGGTGGCTGGTGAGCGGGGTGGAGGGTGCTGCCTGTGGGGCCCCAGGGCTCCCCGCTTCCTGCCCGGGGAACTCTCACAGGCTGGGGAGGGCCCACTCCTCCCCTCGCTCTGTAGGGAGAAGGGCAGTGAGTGTGTGAGTGCATGCTTGTCCATGTGTCTGTGCACGTGTGTGCGCGTGTGTGTGTGGTGGGTGGCTGGGGTGGAGGCCTCCTGGGGACCACCCCAGAAACACCCAGAACCCCCTGCAGCGGAGCCTGCCCCGCAAGAGACCAGGAGGCTGGAGGGAGGCTGGCTGGGGGACCCGGGAGTCCCAGACGCTGACCCCTCAGGCCTCGCCTCCCGCCCCTGCGTCCGGCCTGTGCCCCTGAGTCTGCCCCGCCCGCAGCTGCTGGGCCTGTCTGTGGCCACCGTGGCGGCTCTCACCTACTTTGGGGCCCCCTTGGCTGCCATCAGCCGCGCGACCTTGGAGAGGAACCCGTACGAGACCGTGCACCGCTGGGGTAGGTGAGGTCCCGGCCGGTCGGGGCGGCTGGGGAGGGGCCTGGGGTGCAGCCGGGCCTTGGGCAGCAACGGGAATCGGGTTGCGAAAGGAACGAGGCATGCCCTGGAGTCCTGGCTCCACTGGGCACAGCCCGGGGCCCGGTTCTGTCCTCCTGCCCGGTCTCTGCCCACACGGCTAGTGGGCACAGGAGGTGTGTCCAGCAGGGTCTCGTCAGAGGCCGGGGCCTGGGGCCAGGCTCAGGGTCTGCGGAAAGGGCTGACTCCCACCGAGCACCTGGGCTGCTGGGCTCAGCGAGGGTGGAGGGTGCTGGGGGGCCAGGGCCTGCGGGAGGCTGCTGGGCAGGAGCAAGGAGGCCTCATTAGGGAGGGTGGTGGAGCCAGCGGGCCTCAGGCAGACTCAGGGTGGTCTGGTGGGGAAGGGCAGCCAGGAGAGGGGGAGCTCAGGAGTCTAGGAGGCCGGGTGGCGGGGGTGGTGAAGCTGGCACCCAGGGCCACGGCAGCCCAGCCCAGGCCCTGCTGCGCTTGTAACCCACTGCCCTCCCAGTCAGGGCCATTCTGGACTGAATTAAGGATTACAGCCCAGAGGCCAACTGTCACATAGAGAATGGGACTGCCTGTGGCTTCCAAGATAGCTCAGGAGCGGAGCAGGGCGGCGCAGCTAGAGGAGGGGTGGCCCTCCCTCTAGAGCAGCACAGGGAAGGAGTCGAGGGCCCCGTGTCTTCTGACGGGACCCGTGGCCCAGAGCTCCCATCAGAAGTCCAGCCCTGCCCGTGACGCCCATCTGTGGCATTTCAGACCAGCCCTCTGAGTGCCGGCCTGTCCTGGCGCCCTGAGGGCCCGCTCGCGCCTGTCCACCAGCTTCTACGTGGGAATGAGCCTGGCAGCTCCGTGAGCCTGGGGCCGTGCCGAGCGCGCAGGCCACCGTTGAGAGGCCCAGTGGCCTCGATGCCGGGTAAGCCTCTGTGCCCCACGTGCCCCCAGGACAGGACCAACGAGCTGCGAGGGCTGGTGACCCAGGCCTGCAGACCCCTACTCTGACAGTCCAGACAGAAACATCGGGCCCATGGATGGCTGGTCACAGGCCCTCCCCACATGGGCCAACCTGGGCCCTCCCCCTGGCCAGCTGGGCCTTCCCCTGGCCCAACCTGCCTCCTGCTGCGCCAGCCTGCCCTCCTTCTCTGGCACGAGCCCTCCCCTGCCAGCTTGGACCCTCTCTCCTGGCCTAGCTTGTGCGCCTCCCACTGGCCGACTGGGCCTCCCCGGGTGGCCAGCTCTTGGGCCCTCCCTCTGGGCTAACCTGGGCCCTCCCCACCTGGCCAGCCTTGGCTCCTCCGTGCCATGGAGCCCTCCCTGCCAGCCGATGGGCCTCCCGTGGCCAGCCTCTGGCCCTCCCCTGAGGGCAACTGGTCCCCCTAAGGCCAGCCTGGCTTCGCTACCGAGCCAGCCTGGGCCCTCCTCCTCTGGCAAACCTGGACACCTCCAGGCAGCCTGGCAACCTCCCCTGCGCTAGCGCTGGGCCTCCCCCTGATTGCCTAACCTGGGCCCTCCCCTGGCCAGCCTGGGCCTCCCCTGGCAGCTCTGCGCCTCCCCCTGGCAACCTGGCTCTCCCCAAGACTGCAGCCTGGGCCCTCCCCCTGGCCAGCCTGGGCACTCCCGTAGCCAGCCTGGCCCATGCCCCTGGGACAACCTGTGACCCTCCGCCACTGGCCAGCCTGGCTCCCGCTGGCAGCCTGGCATCCTGGCAAACCTGGCCCTTCCCCTGGTAAACTGCCCTCCCCCTGGCCAGCCTGGGCCTATCCCTGGGCAGCCTTGGGCCTTCCCCTGGCTGCCAGATTGATTGTGGCCCTCTGATCCATTTGCCACATGGGCAGCCTGAGGCCTCTTCCCTGGCCAGCTGGCCTCCCTCCTAGGCCAGCCTGGGTAGCTCCCTGGCCAGCCTGGACCCTCCCTGGCCACTGGGCCCTAACCCCTGGCCAGCCTGGGCCCTCCCTGGCCAGCCTGGGCCCTACCCCTGGCCAGCCTGGCCCTACCCCTGTGCCTGCCTGCCTTGTCCCACTGGCCAGCTGGGCCTCCCACTGGCTCAGCTCGGGACCAGTGCCCCTCTAGGGCCAGCCTGGGCCCTTTCACCCGCTGGCCAGCCATCTGGCGCCCGCTGCCATGGCTCCCCTCCTGGTCAGCCTGAGCCCTCCCCTGGCCAGCCTGGGCCTTCCCCTGGCAACCTGGCTCCTCCCCCTGGCCAGCCTGGGCCCTTCCCCTGGGCAACCTGGTTTAGACCCTCCCCTGGAACCTGGGCCCCTTCCTCGGCCAGCCTGGCCCCTCCCTCTCGCAGCCTAGGGCCAGGCCACCAGGCCCTACTAGTTCAAGACCCATTTAACGTCACACATTTGACAGCCACTTCCTAAGGCCTGCTGGTGAGGGTCTGATTAGGGTTGGTGACCTGCTTTTTGTCAGGACGCCAGGCCAGGCAAGGGAAACCCCTTTTGCTGAGCACCAGCCTGGCTCCCCAGCTCCTAGGGACTCCCCATCCCGACGCCCCACAGGCTCCTTGACCTTGGACCCATGGACGTGGCCCTCATGGCCCACAGACCTGCTCTTCCACCTGGGCTCCCGTCATGGTTTCTGCTGGCCTCGATGGCCACCCAGACCCCACAGGCCCACCCTGCTGGGACCACCCCTCTCCTCTACCTGGTGCCCTGGGCTCCCTGCTGACCCTCCAGCCTCCCCCTCCATTCCAGCCTTGAGGTCATCTCTCTCCAGCCTCCAACCCTCCACTCCTAGAGACCTTGCCCCTACACCCCCTGCGTGTCCCTACACCCCCTGCGTGTCCCTGCACCCCCTGCGTGTCCCTGCACTCCCTGCGTGTCCCTGCATGTCCTTGCACCCCCTGCATGTCCCTGCACCCCCTGCATATCCCTGAATGTCCCTGCACCCCCTGCATGTCCCTGTACCTCCTGCATGTCCCTGCATGTCCCTGCATCCCCTGCATGTCCCTGCACCCCCTGCATGTCCCTGCACCCCCTGCATGTCCCTGCACCCCCTGCATGTCCCTGAATGTCTCTGCACCCTCTGCATGTCCCTGCATGTCCCTGTACCCCCTGCATGTCCCTGCATGTCCCTGCACCCCCTGCATGTCCCTGCATGTCCCTGCACCCCCTGCATGTCCCTGCATGTCCCTGTACCCCCTGCATGTCCCTGCATCCCCTGCGTGTCCCTGCATCCCCTGAGTGTCCCTGCATCCCCTGCATGTCCCTGTACCCCCTGCATGTCCCTGTATGTCCCTGCATCCCCTGCATGTCCCTGTACCCCCTGCATATCCCTGAATGTCCCTGCACCCCCTGCATGTCCCTGTACCCCCTGTATGTCCCTGCATGTCCCTGCATCCCCTGCACTCCCTGCATGTCCCTGCACCCCCTGCATGTCCCTGCACCCCCTGCATGTCCCTGCATGTCCCTGCATCCCCTGCATGTCCCTGCATCCCCTGCACTCTCTGCATGTCCCTGCACCCCCTGCATGTCCCTGCATCCCCTGCATGTCCCTGCACCCCCTGCATGTCCCTGCACCCCCTGCATGTCCCTGCACCCCCTGAATGTCCCTGTACCCCCTGCATGTCCCTGAATGTCCCACACCCCCTGCATGTCCCTGCATCCCCTGCATGTCCCTGTACCCCCTGCATGTCCCTGCACCTCCTGCATGTCCCTGCATGTCCCTGCACCCCCTGAATGTCCCTGCACTCCCTGCATGTCCCTGTACCCCCTGCATGTCCCTGCACCCC